GGGATGCTGAATAATTTTTTAAGGGCCACCCAGCCTAGTAGAGGCCTGAGTTTTACCTCCAGTATGCTTTTCTCCAAATCTTGTTCTCCCTCTATTACATTATTCTAACTTTTATTATAATTTTTATAGCTTTCATAATATGTAAGTAGATTGATGGGTCCTAAGGTATCATGCACGGAGCAAATGTTGGCTCTTCTTCTTAATAGTTCAGTATGCCAAGCCTCTCTATTAATATTTTTCATCTGAGAAATGGAGACTAAAGAATTGTTGTCAATTAACGAAGTAATATTTGAAATGACTACCATAGTGTCTAGCATTAACTATACTATGTCTGCCATAAGACAATCTTGTCATACAACAAAGAGTAGTCAAAGCAGAAAAGTTAGATGATTAGAATTCTTAGTAACACTCTTTCAGTCAGAGCCACACTAGAGTATAGTCTTTAACCTTAAACCTTAGTATTCTTTTCTTTTCAGCAGAGAAAGGATAGTAAAATTTTCCAGAAGATTACCCAAGTCACCACCTAATCACCAATTCACTTCTTGAAATTTCTTGATCCTGGAAAGGGGTCTGCAGACACTTGATACAATTATGTCCAATAATAAATAATTGTTAATAAATAAATTGAATTCAGGTTTATAATCCAATCAAGGAAGACTTGAAAATCACTACATGAAATATTTAAAATTAATTTATTGAGACAAAAAAAGTTGAAAAATTGACTCTAGTGTCTGTGGTAGCTGCCTGAAATAGCTAGAAGACTTTAAAAAAACCACATTGCTTAATCTATGTTTATTATAACTTGCTTATATTTTCTATCTCCTCCACAAGAGCTATATATTATGTACATAATAGGCAGTCAACAAAAATTTGGAGAATAGATATTTGAATTAAAGAATGAATGACTACATAAAACTCTTTCCTCAATATCCTTCCTAGGCACTTTCTTGCCTCTCTCTTCACTGAAGTCTACTGATCTACTTATGCAGCTGTTCCTACAATATCTAGTAATTGATGCTCTAGACTGTCTTGTGTGATTTTCAGTATTATCAATCAATTTATGTCAACAGTTTATTGAGCAGCAGCCTCTTTAAAAATAATTGTAAATTTTAGTTGGAAGAAAACGGAAGTTTCACCATTTTGGTAAACTAATGACATTTACAGCACTCTCAGAAACATATGTGCACAGTGCTCAGTTTAAAAAGGAAAGTGACATGTACATTAGGGTTCTTCCCTTTAACAACTTCAGATAACTTAACCCAAGCAATATACACCAATTATTTGACATTCTGTCAAGATTGGTGAGTGTATCAGGTAGACTGTCAAATCTGAAGACAAGTCACTATTTGTGCAAGCTGTTCATTTTTCACTGATCAAAAAATAAAACAAGTACAAGAATGCTGAGTTATTAAATGTAACAAGTGTTTGATTGAAATATCTAAGTCTTGGTTTTGTTGAAATAAAAACAACACATATGAAGTTCTTTAGACAAGAAACAAGAAAGTAACTGTCTTTCTCTTACAAATATTAATTGTACATGAAATGTAAAATTGAATTAGAAGAAAAGCAATTAAAATCCCTTTCAACATTTTCATCAAAAGGAGTAATCTTTTGATGAACAAAGATATACAAAATTAAGATGGAGCCTAAAAATAAAAGGCTTATCCATTAACTAATACAACATACAAAGAACTCTGAATCTTCACAGTCCTGGAAAACAAAATAAAACTGGAGAATAGAGAAGCCAGAAAAAAAAAAAAAAAAAAAGCATCAGACACTGTTTAGTATTTTCCCAAAGCTCATAGAGAGTCTCGATGCAGAAAATCGTATTTTAAAAGATGGTAAGTGGTTGCTTAACAAGGTTTCCCCAGAAAACACTTTTTGCCCAATAAATAGATGCAGCCTTTCATTTTCAATCGTTTCAATAAACAGCATAGTTAAATCAGTGCAAAACAACTCACAGTATGAGCAAGATAGGTTTAACACGATACTGTTTCAAAAACCTTTCAGAACATCAGATTATTCTGTTAAGTCATTCACCTCCACTTCACCCAATTCCAGAGAGTTAGAGAGTCCATTTTTTTAAAAGAGCAAAAGTACATCTTGTGTAATACGACTTGTTCTGATTATCTGCTATTTAAAGGATAGGAGTCAAGGTAAATTAACCTATAGGCAATACACGCGTAAGTGGTGTGATTATTTTTATTCATTCGACAGGTATTGAATGAATTGAGTACCCATCATATATGCTATGTGTAATATTCTATGTTAGAGATGGATGGTTAATTTTGTCCTCACAGTGCAGAAGAGAAACTTAGGGTTTGTCTATACCAAATCTACTCTCCCCTTCACAGCTGCAAAAAGAATCTGCTTTTATTCAGATACCAAAAACCTTAAAGGAAGACGACCAGTTTAGAGATAAATTCTGAATATGTTAAATCAATCATGTAAGCTGAGTCATCAGATTGCCATCTGGTCACATGACTGGTTTATCGTAAGGGACCCAATTCTGGCAAATAACATGAGCAGTTAACTCAGCTTTGGGGTTTATGGAAAATTTTCTAACTGAGGAAGAGTCGCTTTCTTTACTTTTGCTGCATGGTATCATGCATATATGGATATGATATCCACTGTGTCAAACTTCTTGTAACAATGATGTGAAGTAGGCTGAGACAACATGCTAAGGATGGCACAGCAGAAAGTTGGAAAGAAATTTGAGTTATGACACCATCAGTGAGCTGCTGCAATAAACAACTCTGGAACGACTCCACTGAAGAGCTTCTTGTTATGTGATATAAAATAATTAATTCTTCACATCATTGTAAACCAGTTGAATCAGGGTTATTATTATTATTATTTTTTTGGCTACTTGCAGTTTAAAGTTTAAAGTATCTGCGAGTGAAGGGAAATGGTGAAGTAAATTATGAAATGTTAAGAACTGTATTGTAGATGTGTACAAGGGAACTGAGGTCAGAGACATCTTCAAAGAGGATAAAATCTTGAGCTGAGTTCTAAAGGATTCTATATAGACATTTCAAGCAGTTGGGACACTGTGTGCAAAGTCATCAGGGCATGAAAGATCTGAGAATTTGAGTAACTACTTGAGAATAGAAAAAAAAGATCATATTTGGGCTGGGCGCAGTGGCTGACGTTTGTAATCCCAGCATTTTGGGAGGCTGAGGAAGACGGATCACCTGAGGTCAGGAGTTCAAGACCAGCCTTACTAACATGGAGAAACCTCATCTCTACTAAAAATACAAAATTAGCCAGGTGTGGTGGCGCATGCCTGTAATCCCAGCTACTCAGGAAGCTGAGGCAGGAGAATCGCTCAAACCTGGTGGACAGTGGTTGCGGTGAGCTGAGATTGCACCACTGCACTCCAGCCTGGTGACAGAAGGAGACTCTACCTCAAAAAAAAAAAAAAAAGGATTTGGATGTAGAAAGGCTTACAAGATGGGGTGGGAGATAGGCAGAGTGGAAACTATGAAGCTCCATTGCCAATCACGTTAAGAGAGAATGGATTTTATCTCATAGTCTAATTCTGAACTCTGTCATAAGAAAAGAAGAAACTGGAATTAAGAAATTATACTAACCAGCTGGGAGGTTACCCATGACCTAGAGCCTACTTTATGAGTTTGGGTTAAGTTGTTACATGTGAACATGATTCTGAGAGCAGCATGGAGGATGGATGGACTGGGGATAGGTAAGAACGGAAGCGAAGAAAAACAGTTTGGAAGCAGTATTGATAGCCCAAGCAGATGATACCAAAGGTGCTATCTATAAAATAGAAAGGAAAGGGCAAATCAAAGACAAGTTTATGAGAAAAAAAGAATCAAGATGTAAGGGATAAGCAAATAAAGATTACTGGGTAATAATAATGTCTTCTAGACTTTCTGTGTTGGGTATCTTAGTAGGGCTGTAAACTAGGGTATTGTATATTTTTAAAAGCTTGGGAATGGTGGGTGAAAGAACTGAAAGGGTAGAGGATAGGAATATTGAATTCAATTTTGAACTTCTTGAGCTGAGATCCCAGGCATATACCATAGCTACATAGATATCTTAATAATGAGCCCTCCAGAAGAAAGAAACTGGCTACAAAATGTACCCAAAGGTTAAATCTCTAGGAATTATTTATAAAATTTTTATCTATGGATAAAAACCAAAGAGATTTTTAGAGGATATCTATTAAAATGATGATTCTTACTGGAGTAGTTAGCTAGTAGTCTTTGTCTGTTAAGACTAATTTTGGTTTTTGAAAAGAAAGCCAATTAATATATGGAAAGGTAAATGTTGGCTTTTATTTCATGTTCTCTTCCTCTACCACTTTATGGACAGATTTCTTGAATAATCTATGCTGCTTTACCTGTATGGCAGAAACTGCTATGGGTTTACCAAATTAAACTGCATTTTGCCTTTGTATATATACATGGACTACTTTCCTTTGCCACCTTGCAGTTAGGTAGGGGCATTGTTAACTGACTTCTGGCCTATGGAATACAGACAAAAGTGATGTCTGCAATTAGCATCTAAAAGTATCTCCAACATGCTGATTCTCTTGCTATGATTCTATGATTCAATGATAATATGCTGTGATTCTACCTTATTTGGGTCCAGGTTCAGTGAATACATGTGAGAGTTCCAAATTTAGGGGATGTGATGGTTTCAATGTGTCCCCTTTAAAAATTCATGGGCTGGAACCGTAACCTCCAATGCAACAGTATTGAGAGATAGAGGTCTAATGGAAGTTGTTCAGGGTCCATTCACTCATGAATGGATTCATGCCATCATAAAAAAAAGTCTTGCAAAAAAGGGTTTGCTTTCCTTCACTCTTCTGCAACATAAGAAACAACAGTCCTTTCCTCTGGAATACGCAGTGTTGAAGGTACAGCCTTGGAATCAGAGAGTTGTCCCTAACCAGACACCAAACCTGCCAGCATCTTGATACTGGACTTCTCAGCCTCTAGAACTAAAAGACATAATTTCTGTTGTTTATTTCTCAGATATTCTGTTATTGCAGCACCAGTGGATGAGCATAGGGAATGACTGAGCCATAAGATGAAAGGATTCTGGGTAAGTCCCAACAATGAGCTGATGACATTCAATTTTCTGTCACCATTCCAGATCTTTTCTCTGTCCTTCAGTCCTCTGTACCCTTCTGCTTACTGTGCATTTTTAGTTAGAAGGAAACCAGTGATTTGCCTGCATTTTATTATTGTCATGTTCTTTCCCATCCTAAAGGGATTTATTTTCTAACTCATTTAACTTAATAAAATGGGCTGACTTAATTGTATTAGCATCATTGTTAGTTGTTTAATTAAATAATGTTTTTGAGAAAACTGAGAAAGTCTTGGTTTTATGAAATAGGTGCTGAAAAATAAGTACAAAGTGTCTACTAAGTACATTTCTCAGTTATTGTTATCATCACATCATGGTTTTATAGTAAAACTAACAGAGTACACTTAATATTTTAAATATGAATTAGACACTATATAAAAGATTCTGGAAACAATCTACTGTCTACTTCCAAGCTGCTTCAAGGATACAATTTTAGTGGGCTTATTGCATATACCTATTCATTAACATTTGCAATTGACAGCACGTGAGTCATGCCAATAACTAAAGGCAAAATTTTGAGCTTTTAAATATCTCAATTTGCAATATTGTTTTCTTTTCAGTTTTGCTCTTAAGTTAAAAAAAAACCCACGTCTTCAGTAGTTGAATGAGTTCCTAATTGTTGATAGAAAAAACAAACATTTCATGAATTCTTCAAATTACACTTTTTTGAAAGTAGATGTTGAATTAGAAGGAAATCTGAATTGGGCATGACATAGCATAAAAATATTTTGATTTCAATTCTTTAATCAGCTAGATGACTGTCATTGGAAAAATCACTTAACATGTTGATGTTGAGATCCCTTTCTGGGATAGCAGTCCCTAAAGTCCCATTTGACTTTGAAATCCTGTAACTCTATGAATATCTGTTAGTATATTCATTTTGGATGCCAAATGCAAATATTAGAAGACAGGAATAATTTCTAAACAGAATACCTTTTTGTTGACCACATTTTTTGTTGGCTAGAGCAAAGAAGTCTGATTGAAAAACAATAAATAATTAAACATTATAATGCTGCTTTTCAAAGACTTAACCCAAATCCCTAGTATAAACTTTGACAGTGGGGGACTAATATTATTATAGGGAAACCAGATTACTATCTAAGGAAGCAGTGATGTAATTGCATGTGGTTATTATAATGAACAATTGCTGGACAGTGGATTAGGAAGCTCGGTTCCCAAAGGCCTGGGTGGGTCCAAGTTTCAACATTTGAGTTCACTATGTATCTATATAAGTTCATTTCTGTAACTCTTCACTTTTTCTTAACAAAATAGAAGATTTTGAGGGAAAAATGATTTAAAACAGGATACATTGATGATGGAGCTCTTTTCCTGGCTTTTGTACTGATTTATGGTAGAACTTTGTATAAAATTTTATTTTCATAGGTATTTAATGTGTACGTAATAAGTAATGAGGCTTAACTGAAACCAAATTAATTTAAGATTGTATGGTATTTTAAACATCTTTTTATTAAGGGAACTACATAAAAATCCCTGTTGCATAAAATAGAAATAAAACAGACAAAAACAACTGTTCCTGTATTATGCCTTAACTGGAAAACTCTGCTAATGGATTTTACAGATTATTGTGTACAAAGGAAGCCCTGTTACCACTATCTGCCTCTTTTTCTTCAAGTTGGTTGGGATAGAGAACAGTTACTTTTGGTTTAAGCCAGTTGTTCAATGTAGGGATTCTACCCTGTGTGCACATTTCTGAGAACAACAGGATGGAAAGTTGATTATAGCAAATCAATATTAAAAATCAGTGAGACATATCTTTCTTTTAGGAAAAATGAAGAAATGATTCATTATTTATTATATTGCACAGGTAAAAAGATAAATTAGTTGCAAAATAATGATTCACAAAGGTAAAGGACTGAGGCTTTAAAGCCCCCTATCGATTCTGTATCATGTGTGCTCTACTGCTCTGCAAGACCTCCCTGAAGAATAGCTCTTTACCCTTGCTTCAGGGAGTGTTCCAGGCATCAAAGCAGAAAGAGAGAGCATTTACCTCCTTGGTGTATTCATTTGCAAGCCTTTATCAGTATTTAAAACTGACAGAATTGGAGCATACAAACTTTTTCATTCACTGGGTGTCCAGCCTTGCCTCTCTACTTTTAGACGGAAAAGGTCATAGGCAAAACTGTAAAGTGGACAAAATTTGTTGAGTTCCCTCTCTCTACTCTGTCTCTGCTACCTGACCAGTGGGCTCTTTCCTCTAACCTGGATGCTAATATGTTAGCTCTTAGGCTTCTTTAAGGCAAAGATTATCCTTTGTTTTATTCTTAATAGTTCAACAGTGTCCATCATCTCAATGTTTGTCACTAAATTAATATCCATTAGCATTAGGTTCAGAATATATATATATACATATATATACTTTCTACTAACATCTACTTTCTAATATGAATATATATCTATTCATATTAGAAGAGAACTGCTAGAAGGGAACAATACTTAACCTCAAGGGGTGACTTGCAAATGAGGGAATTTCAGGCATTAGGGGATATGTATTGTGGAGAGGGGGTGAGTGAGATAACTGTGACTTCGAATCACAGGGTGCCAAATTTCCACATCTTTTTGCTTTAAAGTCATCTGTGACTTCAGAAATTGACCCAAAATTCAAGACAAAAGAAGTTTAGGGAGGTTTGTTTTAAAAAAATAAATGGATAGATTTTTGCATCATCTCAGTTTTATGGATATCATATTAAAATCAGAGGACATGGCCATTTAATACCCGTACCAGAGACAACATTGGCTTAATTCATTTCGTGGTTCTCTCAACTGGTTCAGAAGATGCTGCCCCATCAACTTGTTCTTACGCCCTAAGTCCTGGCTTGGTTAGTCCTTGACTGCTGCTAATATTCTCCCTCTTCTCCAGTTTTGATTTCACTAGTGATATCCATCGCTTCCTTTCTGATCCGGTCAATCTCCTGGAATTGCTTTAGCCAGGCCAGCTCTTATTTGACCTCTGAAGCAGCTCTCCTCTGCCCCCTATTGACATGAGTCTGAATGCGCACAGCTGGGTCCAGGGAACTTGATCCTATTCATATATTGAATAGTAAATTATTGAATGCCTATAAAGTACCAAGTACTGCCCTAGATACTTGTGATATATTAATGAATAAAGCAGAAAAAAAAATCTTCACACTGATAGAGCTTGCAAATTGGAGACTTACCTCAGGCTGTCACCATACGTTGAAGGGAACACTTTGAGGAGATTTTTGCATTATGTGCCTTAAGTGACACTTTATAAAGGAGCTGTGTTATAAAATGCCTTCCTACCAGACAGATTTTCATTCAATTTGGTTCTCTCTTGGAGTTTGTTCAATCCAACTTAGCAGGAGGAGTGGGAAAGACTGTGATACTGCCATTCTAACCATGATATATCCCACAGCATACTGATGCTCCAATTTCTAAAGACACTTTTTAAAATTCTTTATCTTCAGTAAGAAATACTTATTGTAGGGGAAAGATGGCCAACTAGGAACAGCTCAGGATTGCAGCTCCCAGTGAAAGTGCAGAGGGTGAGTGGACGCCACATTTCCAGATGGATTTTTATTGCCCACAGACCAGGAGGGTCCCCAGCGGGTCGCCAGCGTGGCTGTTTCGGCTGGCGTGGCTGCTTTGGTCCGCACCCTGGCATTGCGGTTCTCTGTACAAAAGACACTGGTCCGGGTGCCCTCTTAGCTGGCGATTGGAGCCCTGAGACGGCAGAGTCGCCCATTCATCTGAAATAGCGAGCCAGGCAAGGAGATACCTAGGCAAAAAACCGCCAGGAATCTCAATACCACTGTTTCAGCCGGCTCAGTGAGTCGCGGCACGGGAGATCCCGGCGCCTTTTCAACAGGCGACTGGAACACTGGGAGAGGGTCGACCGTTCAACAACAACAACAAAAAAAGACTCTGAGTCAGGGAGCCAGGTGATCAGGCTCGGCTGGTTCCCCCTGCTCCCACACCCCCCCAAAAAAAACAGTAATTGAAAACGCTCTGGGTTGAGAGTTTCACAGCAAGCACAGCTGAACCCAGGATGGTCTGGCTCTGTGGGGGAGGGGAGTTTGCCATTACTGAGACACTCCACCACTACGGAGGCAGTCTGACCATTGCTGAGGCAGCCCGCTGTTGCTGAGGCAACCCATGTTGCCGAGGCAACCTGCCACTACAGAGAGAGTCCGCCATAACAGAGGCGGGCCACCATTGCCAAGGCAGTTCTAACTACACCCATATACACAGGACTGCAGGGAAGATCACACGGCAGCTGGACAGAGCCCACAGCAGCTCAGCAAAGCCTCTGCAGGCAGACAGTGACTAGGCTGCCTCCTCGCTGGGCAGGGCATCCCTGAAAAAAAATAAAAGGCAGCAGCACAACGGAAACTCATAAATAAAGCCCTAACTCCCAGGGACAGAGCACCTGGGTAAAAAAAAAATAAAAGGGAGTTTACGAGTTCTGCTGCAGCAGACCTAAATGTACCTGCCCAGCAACTCTGAATGAACAATGGAGCTCACAGCTCAGGACTTGAGCTCCAATAAAGGACAGACTGTCTCCTCAAGCAGCTCCCTGATCCCCGTATATCCAAAGAGTCACCTCATAAAGGAGAGAACATACTGACATTTGGCAGGCATCCTACTGGGACAAATATAGCAGAAGAGGTAACTGGTAGCAACCCTTACTGTTCTGCAGCTGCTGCAGGTGATTCCCGGCAAGCAGGGCCTGGAGTGGACCTCAGCAGTCCTACAGCAGAGGGGCCAGACTGTTAGAAGGAAAGCTAAGAAAAAGAAGTAACTTCAGCATCCACAAACTGGAAGTTCACTCAGAGACCCAATCTGAAAGTCAGTAACTACAAAGAAAACAGGTAGATAAACCCATAAAGATGGGAAGAAACCAGCACAAAAAGGATGAAAACAACTAAAACCAGAACACCTCTCCTCCTAAAAGGGATCACAACTCCTTACCAGCA